TTTGAAATGCGCTTTTCATGCCACGCCTTACGCATGCATCTCTAGTTTCAGACATCTTCTTCAAACCTTTTTTGCAGGCATCAAGTTTCACAGCTTGACAACAACACTTCCGAAAACTTTCTCTTGTAGTCTCCTCGCGGCCGGGGGGGTTGCATCTGCCCCAGAAGTGGGCCCATGGCTTTGAGTCCGGAGCTAGCGGACACAGTGGATGCTCTTTCGGTCCAGAGTGCTGGTCACCAGCATTATCTTGATTTGCTTTGCCGGTGGTTGAACGAATTTGGCCGTCGTCTCTCGAGGGTTGAGCGTTCTCTTCTGAGAGTGAGCCGTTTGGAGAGAGAAACCACTCGCTTGAATCGCTGCAACGTGTTGCTTCTGCGGGCACTGGAAGAGGCTAGGGACGAGATTAACGCCTTGCGTGCTAGGGTTGCAGCTCTTGAGACGGCAGGCTTGTGATCATGAAGCGCCCTGCTGACCCCGACTGCACTTCAGATCGTAAAGCTCCAGCATTGCCTTCTTCAAGTGCTGGATTGCGGGTCCCATCCCCTAAGCTTAGGTTCCGCCCCGCCTCTGCCTGCCAAAGGCCTGGATCTTCCAGGGCCTCCGGCACGCCGGGAGCCTGATGCTCTGCCGGTCTCAGCCTTGAACAACCAGCCTGGGTCCTCTCTTGGGGGTTCCTTGGGTTTAGGTTTGGCTTCCTCTTCAGAGCTTGATGATCTTCAGAAAGCCGCTGCCGCTTTTAAGTCTTCGGGTTCTAGGATAGGCCCTGCCCCTTCTGAGAAGAAACGCGATCAAGCTGGCATCAGTGTGAATGCTTCGCAGTCTCCAATTGCAAGGCAAGTCTTCTTAACAATCATCTTGTCGTTGGAGTCTCTGAGTGTCATAGGCCAGGGCCTCGCAGGGAGCAAGCAAGATCACTTGCCTCGGTTGCTCTCCCTTTGCGTGGCATCGACAGTGATTCGTTACTGCTCTGCGTTCAAGCAATTTTTTGGCCACTTTGCGCGATATGCAGATTCCGCTTGAACCTCTCACTTCATTTCAAATGGCTGATGCATTGGTTGTGATGAGTCTGGCTCGTAGCTCTGATCCTGAATCTGGTTCTCACTCTTCTACTGCGATCAAGGCTGTTCGCTGGGTTTACAAAATGCTTGAAGTGGCATGTCTTTCAGTGAGCCATTCGCAGATTATTGCCAGTTTTCTTAAGAGCAAGCTTCCTCGCGAAAGGAAGGAAGCGGTGCCACTATCACTCTATGTGGTCATCCAGATTGAAAGAAGAATTCTCTCTCGAGAGGCCTCGGATCCCGAGATCCTACTGCTGGGATCCTTCCTGGTGCTCATCTGGGCATCTCTGCGATTTATGGACGCCCAAAGGGTCAATTTTACTTCCTTGGCATACGATGGGCAATCGCTGCGTGGGAGTTGTTTCCAGACGAAAACCACTAGTTTTGGACAACCATTCGGGTTGCTGTGCCATGGATTCTTGAGTCACGGCAATCATTCGTGGTGCCATCGTTTTTTGCAGGCACTGGACAATGCAGTACATCAGCATCTTTCCCTTCACCCGGGGGTTCCCTTGCCCTCCAGCCTTCTACTTTCATTGGACAGTGCAGGCAACACTCTTTTGCCATTGCAACCGATGAGCTACGCTGCTGCGCTTCGCCATCTGCGTCACGTGATAACTCTGCCCTGGAAACGCCCTCTTCCGGAGGGGTGCTGGCCGGAGTTTTGGCCTTCACCCACCACTCAGAGGGTACACTGGTACGGGACCTGATTGCAGGTGGGTGGCGAAGCTCTTGCCATTTCACCTTTGTTACAGGAAAGCGGTGGGGAGTGAGTGGGTTCCGGGAGCACACGGGCCGCGATACGCACTTAGTATCTGCAGAGGGGTCTGTAGAGAAGCGTGCTTGCCATTTGGCTCGCGGCTGCGCTCAGCCCGACGCAGAGGGACGTTGTTTGCGTGGCCTAGTACCTCGGAGGGGGACCTTCAAGGGAAGAGCCTGATCGCACGGGTATCCGCGAGGATGGCACGCTGTCTTGCCCTTATGCCGGCTTGCCGGTGGCGGGCCTGCCTAGTTGCTACTTCGTGCGATTGTTGGCATGCCCTCTTGCCAACCTGGGCCGTCTTTGCTGACCTCATAACGTTGTTTCTGGGGTTGGGGCGTTCGCCAGCGGGAACTCCAAGTGGAGGGGGCAATGACGCTTGCGGAGCCCCCTTAGAAGCCGGGAGGGAACGGCGCCTTAGGCATGGCTGCTGCGCGCACCACCTCGTGCAGCTAGTCGCTCGCTCACTCACTCACTCTGCCCTGGAAAAGCAGTAGGCCCTCTTCAGTATCATCACCGGTTCTGAATTATACAATACACTCTCTCAAGACAACAATGCTATCATGGTCAGGACAGCCACCTTCGTGCAGATGATGCCCTACTCCGAGCTTTACCTCCGTTGCAGCAGCCTGGCCAACGCTGCCGACACGGTGGGACCTCTTGGCCACGACATCATCGCCAAGATCATCTGCAACCGCGGCGTTGGCTACATCATGGAGAGCCGCGCGGACGAGAACCATCAGGTCACGATCCGCGGACCCATCACGCTGCGGTGTCTGCGTTTCAGATTGACGGACGTCGAGGGCAACATCGTCAACCTTCGCGGCAGCATCAGCTTCTGCATCTACCTGGACGGTTGACTCCCTGGTCGACCGATTAAATTTAAAGTCATGCTACGAGAAAAGGACCAAACCGAATGTCCGAGCCAGAACCACCCGAAACAGAACCGGTGGAAATGGCTCCAGCGCCTGCTCCCGTGCCCGCGCCAGAAGCGAAGCCTGTCGAGGAGGCACCTGCTGAGGAGCCAAAGAAGAAGAGAGGCCGACCGCCAGGCAGCAAGAACAAAGCCGGAGCGAAGGCTGGAGCGAAATCCGGAGCCCAAACCAAAGCTCAAGCCGACGCCCAAGCCGAAGCCAAGCCAGAAGCACCTCCCGCTGTCCCTGTGTCAGCTGCTGTTCCCGCCCCTGTAGAACCAGAAGAGCCAGAACCCGAAGAGCCGCCGCCCGCCCCGGCCATGATGAGGGCCATGAGGCAGGTGGCGAGAACCGATCGCTTCGAAGAGCTGCTAACGCGAAACACGATGGAGTTCTGAGAAAGACAAAGACGACAAGCACAAGATGATGAACGTTGAACCCAGGAACGAGCCACTCATGCTGCGGCAGTTCAGGAAGACGTACCCCTCGTACAACCTCAACGCAATGATGCGCAAAAGGTACGAGGAATTAATGGACGCCAAGGCGTTCAACGAATGGCTCCAGAATCGCCAACTGAAGCAGCAGGGCGAAGAGTACCTGGACGCCATGGGCAGGATGGCCGAGCCGAAACGGTCAACCGAAGAGTGCCGCAGCTCCGTTGGGCTGGGGCTGAACGCGCGCAAGTCCAGAGGGCAAGTCAGCAGTTTGCGGGGAACACCATGCCCCGTCCTACGGCATGAAGCGACGCTAGTAAGTAAACAAACAATGGAAGAACAACGAGCACTTGGTTTTCGCAAGAGGCCTCGCTTCTCCGAGGTTCTGGAGTACATAGAGGAAGGACAGCCTCTGGGCTTTCCTTTGCCCAACCGCAACGCCAGCATCTACACGTCGAGCCACTTCTACCTGGCTGATTTCCCGCCGTCCACGGAGCCCTTGGCAGAAAATCCAAGGCCGCACACTCGGCTGGGAGCGGCAATCGAAGACGACTTCGAGTCCGCCGACGATGGATACCAAGGCAGGCCCTTCCCTCAGATGAGGTGCCCCAGCTTCCTGCAGCCAGGTCCCGACACGGACACCGAGGACGAAGCCTACCGAAGGGACGGTTTCGATCCGCCAAGGCCTCCCGACCCCGGCCAGCCCAGCACCAGCGTCAGCGGCAGTTTCAGCGGCCGTGTTGGGGAGGCGGCCACGGCAGGGGTCACCGGCATCATCGGCGGGCGCTTCTGAGCGGCGAACGTAGTGGAGCAACGGGTGATTCCCCAGATCATCGGTCGGCCAACAGACGCCCAGCGCGTCATCGAGCAGGCCGGTCAAAGAGCCCAAGAAATCCAGAGAGCGGCGGCTCAAGACATTGAGCAGTTTGCGGCAGAGCAAGCGGCCGCAGAAACGGCCGAAATCACACCCCTGCTGGCCGAAACGGGCGCGGCGGCTGGCGAAGCTGCAGCCGGAGCAGGGGCATTGGAAGTCGAGGCCTGTCCAGAGACCCTTCGGTCTGGGAGGCGGGTCCTTGCCGCCGAGCGGGAGCGACTCGAGCAGCAGGCAAAGACCACAAAGGCAAGGACAAACGAGAATGGAGCCCTCCTTCAACGAGCTGCGTCGGCAAGCGCTGGCCCGAGATCCAGAGCCTGCGTGATCACGTGATCTCGTAGGACGAACGACGAAACTACCGACGCGTTACTAAGAAAGCACAATCGATTCGCAAGATGGAGGTGGTGACGAACGCCGTCAATGACGAACTCATGCAGAGCCTGGACTACAAGATGCGCATATCGAACGCGTCCTACGTGGTATCTCGAAAAGATGTGCAGTACTTCCCGAGTAGCCTCAGCACCATCACGCCCACGACGTCTCGCGTGGTTCGCGTGCCCTTGACTTCGGGCTCTGATTTCATTGACCCCGAGTCGATCAAGGTGGCTTTCCGCTTCGTCAACAACGACGGCACCAACGACTTCCACCCCATCATGGGACACCCGGCTTGCCTGATCAAGAGAATCCAGCTTTTTTTGCTTTGCGAACGCGGAACAACTTCGAGGCCGTCCCTTGCGCGGCACAGTGCAAGCTCTTTGAGCCCGGCTGCTCTTAGGCAGCTGCGTAGAACGCACACTAACTTCGCAGCGAACTGCTAGCAAGTCAGAGACTAGAACCCCGGTGCGCGCACCTTGCAGGTGACATCAGGACTGAGAAGTAAGCCTAACGAAAAACAATAAGTAACAATTACGACTTAACGTTTGCACATCACTGTCAGTAGCAATGACAGCCTGAACATTATCAATTATCATCAAATACGTGAAACTTCTTCTTGTTGCGCTCAGAATAGCCACTCACAAATGCACGATAATGGCCTGCATCAGGGCTCTCACCCAAGTGGTAGATGCCCGCCGTGAGCATGTAACGAATGGGAACCACTCGAACAGCATGTGAATCAGCAAAAAGTGGCATCGTCACACATAGACGTGGCCTCAGCATGATCGCACTCTGATCTTTCCGCACTCCCCCATCTCGGTCACAAAACCTGTTGAGTCGCAAGCTTAAAATGCGAGGAGGGCTACTCAATGCATGCGGGTATGCCTGTCGGTTGATTGGGTACACCTGTTGGTGCCAACCAGAAATAGCATGTTGTAGTGAGCCTGAGGCTACAAGTTCCAGCGAGATCGGGTTTTCAAAGCTGCCACCATCTGCCGACCAACATACATGGTCCATGACACGCGCCTCCCATGCCCCATCAAAGGAAACTGCGCTCGCCTGTTCCAGGATGAATGAAGCAAACTCCACCACGTCATGTTGACGTTAAGGCTGAGGCCAAGTCATCAATGCCAGTCGCCATGGCACTAGCCCTGGCACTGAGATGCGATTCATCTGTTGTTGTAGCAATGCATGAAAAGCAATATTGAGCCTGCCCATGTGAAAATCCCGCTCACCTGATTCAAGAATGACCGTCCATAGAGTCGCAGCGCAAAAAGAATTCATGTAACACGCATTGCCATGATTCATGAAAGTTAGGCGCAGCACCGACTGTAGAGCCTTTCTTGTATTTGAGTGGCAAGTTCGGAAATCCGCCCCCGCGAGGGTTTGATCCGTAAGCCAACCAGGTGCAGCATAGCATGACCCATCAGCTTGCCCATTTGCGTGTAAAGCTTGTCCGCAGCTTGGTGCCTCAGCGACACCTCGCAAATGAAGGAGATTTGATGTCCGCTCATCTCCTGTGCAAGCGGTCGCGTCGCCGCAAACTTTAACAAGATCTCTGGTTGGTCGAGCAGGTTCAGCATGCTCTGTAGCAACTCGATCGCCGCCATCATGGACATGGTGCCCCGGTTTTCGTCCGTCTGTAGTTTGCTCTCCGAGTGGCTCCAGACTTGATACACCCACTGTGTCTCGGATGTCAACCAGCCTGCATTCTTCATCACCTGCAATGCCTCCCCCGCTGCATCGTTCGTGAGCCGCCGAACCCTTTTCATTAGCTCGGTCAGAAGGCAAAGCAAGATGGTCACTCTCAGAGATCGGTTCAGAGCTGAGGGGTTGTCCTGGTACTTGTTGCGCCATTCCAGCGAGACCTGATAGAGAGTGAGAAGAAGGGCGTCGGGGGCACCGGGCTGATTCTTGAAGGTGAAGATGTATACCATGTCCATCTGTAGTCGGCTGAGGAATGCCTCGTGCCTGAGCATCAGCTTGATCGCCATCTCCAGGAGCTCCTGCTGGTTGTTCTGCTGATTGTGTGCGTCGGTGCGCTCCGCGTGTTGTCCCAACCGCTGCCTCGCTGTCGACTTCGAGCTTTTCCGCCGCCCTTGCCCGACGGCCTCACGCCCTGGCTCTGTGGCTTGCGCTTTGCATTTTCGCCCGGTGTTTGCTTCTCCTTCTCTGTCTCCGGCAATGCCTGCTGGGAGATGACTACTGAGGGAAGCACGTGCCCCCACATCAGGGACATCTGGGCCTCGACATCCATCTGAGTCATCGGCAATCAAGTTTCCAAGCAAACAAGCCTGCCAGACAACCGAACACAAAGGTGGGTGCTCGGAGAACCGCTTGACCACTGCTCCGCACCAGCGACAAGGTGATACCGCTACTCGAGCCAGCTGCTTACACTCCTGAGTCACAGTCGCCTGCAGCCGATTCCACTCGTCAGAATGAACACGACGCACATGTATTTTGATTTGCTTTTGATCAACCCACTGGTGGCAGAGGACGCAGTGATTTACCATCTCAGCACGCAAACTCTCTACTTCAAGTAGCGCTCGCCAGCCGTCACTCTTGCATGCAGTTCTCACTTGGGTCCTTTGGACTAAAGGCAAAGTTGCCTCATCAGTGTTCGCCTGGTCAGGCTCCAACGACTGAGCCGAGTCATCAGGTTGTTCCTGCGACAAGCCAGCCTCCTGCTTCTTCAACCAGTAAGGCTCACAATTGTGTTCACGGATGTGCCTTTCAAGGTGACGACCTTGGCGGTCATTGTCAGCGATATCATGAGGAATGTCATCGGGCGGCTGAGTATCTTCGAGCTACCCAAACGGAAAATATTGTTCGTCCACAGGATGGTGCACCACTGGATGCTCTGGTCTCTGGTCGATGTGGACTGAAGGCAGCCACTCTTGTCTGTGATCGATGTTTCCTGTGCTTACCTGACCTGAAGGCACTCAAAGCTCACATGAAGCAGCAGCATGACCACCGCATCCCTCACATGACAGGTTCCTTTCTTCGAAATCGACATGGAAAGGATGGAATGCCAACCTGTTTGCATTGTGACCGTCGTTTTCCATGTTGGACTCCGCAACTCGTCGAAGTCGATCCAACACAGTCCCTGGGAGCATCGGGTCAACAGCATCAGTGATCCGCGTGATCAGCGTGGTGGTTTGTAGAAGTAGCATCTCACCGGGGAACTCCATACGCACTTGTTGCAAGACACTCTGGTTACTATCTCCACCAACATGTACCTGATTACCCATGATCGCTCTGACATGTCGAAGTACCCTGGCCGTAAGTGTAGTGAGACTCTTGTAACCAAGACCGGTGACACTCAGTCCATGACACAATGTCGACCATATACAAGTGCGCCACAATCGAACCCGACCTCCAACAGAAAGATCATGTTTACTCTGCAGTGGCCTGTGAAGACGATACCGTTGGAGCTCAGCGATGCCTAGTCGATGTTGGAGCGTCTGCTCCTCATAGCCCGCGTAGGAAAGAATGGTACCTAGGTAAGTCATCTGCTTGGCCAGTGGCAAACAAATCTCGCCGCCCGCACCATCCGCTAGAAAGAGCGCATGGCCTTCCTTGTACGGCCGTGTCCTACGTCGCAGCCAGAGTTTGCCGAGGTGACCCCGAATGGCACACACAAGTACACACTTGTCCTCGTTGATGATCATATGAAAACGCTTGAGAACTGCAAAGGTGGCTACCACACATCGCTCAAACCACCTAAGATCCTCGAGACTCTCCACTTCCCAGGCCTCGTGAACGTCGTCTGCGTAGGCATTCACCAAGAACTGAACCCATTTAAGATCAGTGCACTCTGCAATCCGAGCAAGGATGGAGCCTGAGAGTAGAGCCCACAAATAAGGTGCCAAGCAGCACCCTTGCCTGACCCCAGCAGTACAATGCACTACATCATGGTGTGTATGAACACGGAGGTGATAGTGAACACTGTCATGCCACTGAAGTATTATCACCCGCAAGTCATCGTCCACCTTCGCTTGTCGCATTGCCATATCAAGGTCCTCTCGGTTGACCCTATCAAAGGCCTTCGACAAGTCCAGCGCCATCATTAAGCCGCCGTAGCATGGCAGCGCCTTTTTGCCCGCACGACGGGCATAGATGTCCGAACGATGCTGTTCAAGAAGGCGCCTGACTCGATCACAGTGTGCAGTCGTCCTCGCCAAAGCCGAGGCCAGACATCTACCTGGGTAGTAGGCGAACTGGGGGTATTCACGAAGCGCTTGAACCACACTCGGCCTGAGAAGCGAGGCTAGGTGTTTGGTCACTATCTTGCCACTGGTGTCCTGAAGGGCAATGGGTCACAACTCATCTGGGCGGCAACCTTGCTTCCCAACCTTGTTGAGCCAAACCAGCCAGGAGTCACACCATAGATGAGGTGCATGTGGCCTCAGACTCCAAGCCCTTGCTGCCAATTGCACCAGAACAGGCGCCAGTGCTCGCCGGCACAGCTTCCAGACCGCAGGTGGTAAGGTGTGGGCTGGGACAGACTTGTCAATGGATAGTTTGCACATGTGCCGTTCAAGATCGTCAGCCATCAGCTGGAAAGGTTGGCTAAGAACAGCATCCGAAGCAACACAACGTCCCGAAGAGAAAAGGCCCCGGCAATAATCAGTGAAGACACGCAGTTCCTCAGCGTTCGAAAGGATGCGGCCATCTTCCCCGCGTAGCTGAACCTTCGCTTTGCGCTGCTTAGGCGCGAGCCTCCGCATGACTTCGAAGAGCCCTCTCTGATCGCCCCGTCGATATGCATTTTCCGCCTGTCTGAGCTCACTTTGCATGTATTGTTTGCGAAGTGCCCGGCTAGCTCGCTTGGCCTCTCGCGCCGCCTGCTTATAGATCGTCACCTGACGCCAGTATCGCAGTACATGTCCACATAGGTGATGCAAGCCAGGTGGGGGACCGACTCCTAAGGTTCGCCAAAGTTGCCATAGATGCGGATATCGGACCTGAAGGTCAGCATGCTGCCATGGGCGTTGTCTCACTTGACCCGATGTTTTAGGAAAGTGCCGTGCAAGGATGGGCATCACGTGCTCATTGAGGGCCTGGGGCGTGTCAGCCCGGGCATCAGGTAATGTGCAGCACACTTCATTGCAAAATGCCATTGCCGTCTCCGAACCTGTCCGGACTGCTTCCCGAAGTCGAATAACATCAAATGATTGCACCTGTGGCTCTTTAGAACGATCTGGCATGAAGCGTAAAGTGGGAACACACACAGAAAGAGGCAAGTGACGACCTCCACCACGCCATTCAAAGAGCCCTGCGTCAGGAAGTGGGCAGGACCGCCTAGAGATCGGATGGGCATCAAGACGCCGCGTGATAACGAAGTCAATCTGACTTTTTCCTTTGGTGTGGATGTAAGTTGCTGACCGCGCCCGGGCTGACCAGGAGTTTAACACGCATAAATCCAGAGCCTCAAGAAGTCCCATGAAAGTCTCGACATCCGGAGGGGGGTTCGGCTGATCCAAGACTCCAGCCCCACAGTGCCCTGCCCTTGTCACTCACGGTGTGTTCATGTCGCCCAGAATGTAGCAATGATCACGAAGTGGTACACCTTGGACTACTTGGCGAATCGCGTCCCACACTCGAGCACGGCGGTTTAACATGATCTCCTGTGCAACCTGATATGTCCAGGCGTGCTGGTAGACACAAACCAAGTGAAAATTCTTTTGGAGCTCAAGCCTGACATGGACAACTCTCCCCGGGACCACCGCATGATACTTGATGCAACCCTCCGATACAAAGGATTTCCTAATCATGACCAGAATGCCCGTGTTCTTGCCCTGACTGCCTGTGCTCCCGGCGGAGTGTATGTAGTTCCAAGTTTGGTCAGAGTACATGGAGTCCTGCTTCCACCAGGTCTCCTCTATGACCACAATCGAGTAGCGAGCACATTGAGGCCGGTGCCACCAAATGAGCAGCTCGCCATAAGCCGCAGCGCTCAACCCTCCCGCATTCAGAGTGAGCATTTGCACAAAGCGGTTGCCTGCCCGAACAACACTACCCTTCGGCCTACATGGAGCACCCCTTGGAGGAGCAAATCGCCGCGCCTGAAGATCACTCACCGTGTGCCATCTGCCACGATACCATGTTCCCCCGAGTCCTGGTTGTGCAACATCACTTCGGAGAGCCCTGCCACACGCTCGTCTAAAAGATCTCTTCTGTGCTGTTGTCACGGCCTGCCGATCCCCTCGATCCGGATTGTGACCTGCAGCACAGACATGACATGTCAGGAGAACTATGAGAAACAGTCGCCACCAGCCAGGTGATCGCACCGCCATTCTTGACGTGATCGATCTTGACCAGTCCTTTGTCACGTGGTGCCCTTGCCGCCAAAGATTGAGGCCAAGCGCGACACGAGTAAGAATGGAGTGCCCGCCTCGAAACCAGTAACCAGTGATCCCAATCACCCTGCAAGCAACAAGAAGAAAATGAAGATGCCGTAAAAGAAGAAGATATATATTAGCCTGATGTAGTCTCATGCCACTCACCTTGCTTCGCCCCCGATTGGAGCCGACAAGCCTGGAAGTTCGAATTGAGCTTCCCCAGCACCTGGTGATGAGTGCTGGAACCCTCGCGCCACCACCCAGAAGTAAGCTGCCAAGAAAAGTCATGACGTAGCCGGCCTGGGCAGCCCTGGACTTGGGACCAGGGTGAGCATTGATCAAAAGACATGTAGAGGAGCCTGTCAGCAAATCATAGTGCCAAAAATTGTCCACATGTATGCACAGCCACCGTCTTGCACCTCGAGCTCCGGTGGTAAGATGTGCAAGTAAGGTGAATATGAGGAGGAACGGCTGCCGTGCCAGGATGTAGCGCACAAAACCCTGTCTCCTACGCAGACCCCGGAACCGCCTACCCCTACACCTATGAACAGGCAGCTTCCGCACAAAGATCTTGCTTCGCATCTTCTTGTACCAAGGAATGACAGTGCCAAGTGCAGCCAGGCGCCTCACATTTGTAAAATGAAAGCATCGTCCAGCTACAATGGGAGAAAGTTGCCCCACGCCACAGTCCACAGAAAATCGCGCTGAAAGTCCGTGATCCTGTGCAGTGACCCAAAAGAATAGCCACTGTTCATGTAGAGAACCTCTGTCAAAATGTGCTTCAGACTGCCTGAAAAAACATGTGGAAAACTGCGAGCACTCATGCATTATGTCAAAATCAAGAATACCACAACATCTCGCTTCGAAGCTGCAGTTGGATGGGTCTTCACAATGCGTTTGCCAAGCTTTCGCCACAGTCTGCCAGATACATAGCAGTGTGCAAATTGCACGCATGCATGAAATGTAAATCATGGCAACAACTACCGCGGCTAACCTACAGACTCCCCCCAGAAGTTTGAGCACTCATGGCGCTTAGAGAATCCAGCTTTTTGCTTTGCAGACGCAGCAAGTCCGAAGTCTCGCCTAGCGTGGCCTAGTGCACATGATGTTTCATCATGCGGCCGCTCACGCTGTGGTGACGGCTGTACTTTGTACACACTGTTGTGCCTTCCTCGCAGCGAGCTGCACGCAGGAGGCATCCCGGCACGGGTGCCAGCAGAATCGCTAGAGGAACAAAGAATGTACACATGTTGTTCGTATTTACACGAGTTGGTGTGAGCCTATGTGTGGGTCTACTGTGTCGATCACGAGGCAGCCTCATGACTTGCAGGACTTTGTACAACTTTGTACAAGCATGGGCATCCCATGCAGCATGGGCAACCCATGCAGGCAGCACATGTTGGTTGATGAATCAAACGGTTACGTGGTGACGGGGTTAGGGTGTTATGTTTGACGTGTCCCAAGGAGCGCGTGTAGCAGCTACACTAGAGGGGACGTAGACGTGTGTAAATCTTTGTGTTGTTGGTTGTTGTTGATGTTGTCTGGAGTCCGGGTGATCTCAGGCTTGAGGCGTAACGCCGACCACAACGAGGTGAAGCTGTGCTCGCAGTCAGCTGCAGTATGCCGCGTGGGGTCGGGCAAAGGTTTGCAGCGCAAGCTGCATACATCAACATTTTGCAAAGCACTCTTCTGGCGCATGGTTGTTCCTCGAGCTTTCCTCAAAAGCTCCGGGTCAACTGGTGTGGTAAGGACTCATGTACAAGTACAAGCACAAACGTTTTGCGAAGGTACTGCTGTTGGCAATGGTAGACCAGTCAGTCTCCGAAGATCACAAAACTGCATCGCCCGGGCTATAGCTGCCATAGGGTGGGCTACGAGGCGCAGCATTCACAGGCGTCGTTGTGGGGACCACCTTAGTAGCAGGGCGACACAGCGTGTGCTTGTCTAATTGGCGGTCGGAGCGCCTCCACGGTAGCTCATGAAGGCGAGGAGCCATGACGCTCATGTCGACTGCGACTGCGGCTGCGACTGCGATGCTGGTCAAGGTTCGGTGTATCCAATGCAGGTGGTGTATTGGGCATACGGTCAATGTGAGCTGGTTGCCCTTCCTGCGGTCGCAGTGGTCGTAGCATCGTCGCATGCCGCCAAGCGTTGAACACTGTGGCGGTGCTGGCTTCGGGTTCGTCGGGCCAGTCGGGCCAGACCATGGCGGTGACCCCAAACAGTTGGGTCCGATTCACACAATTCAGTGCATACCGACCCATCTGCAGTGTATCCTATGCTTGATGCACATATCTGGTCACAGAAAGCGTTCAAGTGGTCAAGCGGACAACTTGGTCTCTGCAACGGTCCCTCCCGGTGGTTGGGTGGGGGAGGTGCCTAGAGAATGGCAGCAAAATGTCACGGCCTCGCCTGGCATCGTGAATTATGTGGTCGTCGAGCGGTCATCCTCCCTGAAGGACAGCCGTGAATGAGAACATCACCTGAGCACCGATCCCGGAGGCAGACTCGCTTCCAGCATAGGGCAGGTCAGCTCGGCGCAGTGGAAAGCCACATTCCTTCGACGGATGGGCTGCCAATGCTGCCACCAGCTAACACTCACACAGATCTCGCCCGTGATAATGCCTGGATTTGTTCCGATACCTTGGTGTAGGGATTCTCGAGACTGCAGCGCCCAACCACGTTTCATTGTGCTATTGGGCAAGCCATAATTGTCACAAAGGAGCGCTCATTTGTTCAAAGGAGTGCTCATATGCAGCCCGCTTGAAGCCTCGCGCGCAATCCTACCAGCCTCCTGTACGCAGGTCATCGCGAGGAACTCGAGGACTCAGGGGAACTCTGATTGAAGAAGCGTCCTCAACACTGCAGGCACCGGTTAGCAAAAGGCTATGTTTCGAGTTACGGCCTAAAGCCTCGCAGCATGTGAAGCGACAACGCATGTTCAACACCGTGTCGGAACTGATCAGTGACGGCAAAGAGAATCCAGCTTTTCGCCAACGGCCAGCGCGCCGACGACATCGACAACTACGGCAGAACGGTGCACCTGTACACCCTGCTGAAGCCTCGTGAGTGGTGGATCAACCAGTCCAACGAAGGCTTCGAGATCAACGACGTGGGAGGGTTCCCCCAGCCGCTGCCCGAGTCGCATTTCCAAGAAGTGCTCATGGCACCCACCCTCGTCGGGCTCCTGGGCTGCAGCAAGATGCTGCCTCCGCAACTGAACCTCGTTCTCGAGATCGAGTTCGCCGACGCGGCAGACACTATCCGAGGAGGACAGAACAGCTCCGTTGACTTCAGCATCCAAAACTTGCGCGTTCTTGCATCTCAGGTGACCCTGGACAGCGCCCTGGTAGAAAGCTTCAACAGAGTGCTCCTGAGCGGGCGCAGCCTCGTGTTCTCCTATCCAACGGTGCACACTCAGGTGACGAGCGTTCCCGCTGGATCCACAGAGTTCAATGTGACCGTTGCCCGCGCTTACTCGAAGCTGCTGGGGGCTTTCGTGACCTTCCAGGCAACCGCTGCACCCGAGGGCATCACGGACCTGGAGCACCCGGGCAATCAAGCGAACGGCACGTCGTTCTTGGAATCGCAGATGCAGATCGGACCGCTCCAAGATCCACATTATCCTGCTAAGGACTTTGCCGAGCACCACCACTTGCTTCAAATCATGGCCGGCACCACGACTCGACCTTCCGCAACATGCGATTAACCAAGAACATGTACGAGGGAAGCTCCTTCATCGCAGCCTACCCGGTGGAGCGAGTGCCGAAGATGCCCCTCAGCGGCATCAGCACCAGGGCTGGCGACCTGGCTCGCTTCAGCTTCAAGGGTCTGCAAGCCAACAAGGTGCAGCAGTGTTACGTGCACATGGTGAGCTACCAGGGTGGTCAGCTCAGCGGCTCTGGCGTGTCAGTCCTCGACTAACGCAGATCACTGCAAGCATCACTTCACGCGTGCGTGTCGATGTTTTATAGATCCTAGGTCAAACGAAATTTTGTAGGGAGCAAAATTTTGGGCCATGACAATCTTTGCGCTACTCTTAGTAGTGCTTTACAATCCAGACCTTTAACAATTTTCAATCGCTGTTGCATGATTTCGTTTCT